ATTTAAAACAGTTGAGTACATTTTTTTTTTTCAGGATTCTTTGATGAATAGAAAGATCCAAAGATCAGCATTTATCTGAAATAAAAAGCTTTTGTAACATTATACACTATTCCATTCAGTATAATTTTTTGGGAAAGAAATTATAGAAATTAATAATTTTATTCAGCAAGGATGCTTGAAATTGATAAAAAGTGATGATAAAGGCATTTATAATGTTACAAAAGATTTCTATTTCAGATAAATAGTGTTCATATCGATATCGGAATTATATCGTATCGACCGAAATTAAGAAAGATATCGTGATATAAATTTTGGCCATATCGTCCAGGCCTACTTCCACGTTGGAAGGCATTGCGAAACTAACCAAGTGATGCAGCCTTTAGGAAACTTAATGGCAAAGTAAAAACCTGTCTCAGTCATTGCACATATATCATGAATATTCAATATATTGTCCTGGTTGAATATCTTTTTTTTTGTTTTTAATAAACAGTGTTCATTGAAATGTCCTTTCTATTTGAATTTAAGCTTTGTTAAATGCAACTTTCTGCAGAGCAAGCGCCTGAAACGGCAGGAAATATTTGCCCAAGATGGCCTGACATGGCAGAAGATAGTTCAGTTCTTCACCCAACATCTGGAGAAGAAAGATCAGCCGGCGGCCACTCATGAGTTAAAGAATATTCTCCAAGCAGCCAAACAGATCGGTAGGTAATTCATATCTTCGGTGTGATTAAAAAACAGTCCAATCAAGAATTTACAGTATAGTGCACTTTACAAACTGTCACAAATGGGCTCTTTCAGTGCAGACAGCTTCATTGATTTTAATTGAAGTTAGTTTTGATGTGACAAACCAGATGCTTCTGGTGTAGATATAGTGTAACTGTAAGTTGTTTATGTTTGCCGAACACATCTTACTGTCACAAATGTGAGTATAATGATTATTAATGTTCATTAATCATATTTATAATGTAAAGCTGCTTTTTGCACTGTTGACAGACTAATAATTAATTTCAAATTATTCTATGAACATATGTCTGTATTTTTATTTTGACATTCTGGGTGGTGTGCTACTTGCAGTTATATTGCTCGCATTTAAAAATGCGTCAAGCAGTTATATTGCTTGCAAAAATGCTCACGTTTGCAGCGCACACTTAATATCAGTTAAGGTTAAATAAACTGTTGTCTTTTATGGATTATGGTTTGGTTACGAGTCTAAAGATTTCTCATGCATGCTCATCTAATCAGAAATTGGGGAACAAGTTAACTAACGACCAGAGACTAAACATAAAGGAAACCACTTGTGTCATCTCGCTTTCTACAATTGCCATAAGTGCAGTTGTAGAGAGAGGGAACAGTGAAGGCCCATGTTATGTGTCAGATGTGTTCAAGAGGTTGCATTTGCTTACAATTGCCACTGTTAGTACTGTACATAGCAGTGGGGGCAGCACTTCCCTCAGGGGAAATATATATACAGTATACCGTTTCACATTTACAATTCTGCTCTAAGTGTTTGCTGCATAAAAACATTTTCGCGTTGATCTGAACTAAAACAGCAGACAGGCTTATTGAAAATGCAAATTCATTCTCTGCCAGCAGGAGGCGGTTTTTGAAGCGGCTGAACTAGACGTTTCCCTGGTAATGCCTGCAATCAAAGCAGTGCGGCGCTCAAAAACGCTACTTTATCAGGCATCATAAGAAAGATGAAATGAAAATGACATTGAAGCTTTTCTGAAGACAGTCGGTTCCCTTCAAAGACACATTCATATAAAAACACCCACGCCACATTTTGATTTTGAAACGTGCAGTGCTCAAGTTTATTCAACGAAGTCAAATCCTTTTGGAAAATCTATTTGTGGTGGTTAGTTTTGATATTGTTGTGGGCCGCCACAAATAAGTCAATGTATGGGAAACATTACAGTGTATAGACCAATTTTGGAGTAGACGTCACAGTTACGTTACATGCAGCTGCGTGCACATTTTGGTGGCAGAAAAACACTGGGAACAAGTGGAGGGAAATGGGTAAAATCCATGGAATAAGAGAAAAAATGTAGTGTTGTGCCTTTGGATGTCAGAGATGGAATGAAAATAAATTTTATAGAATACTGTCGTCAAAGAAGCCATTTGAAGCTAAACGCAGACGTTTTAACAAACAGACTATGGTTGAAACATGCTATGATTACTCTACTTTTAAAGCATAATTTTGATTTAAACAATAGGTCTATATAATATTCACATATGCAGTTAATAGGGGACATATTGTATTAGCTCTGCATTTACAGCATGAAATAGCCTACTATTTAAACCTATAACATTTGCCTATTTTATCTCACAATTCTGACTTTTTTTCTCGCAAATGCAAGCCTAGTTCGGACTTTATAACTCAATTTAACTCAACAATTGCAATTTTGTCAATTCTGAGGGGGATAAAAGCCAGAAGTGTGGGATATAAACTCCGCCGAGGGGAAAATAGAGAATAACAAGTTTTTTTTTGTGAAATATAATCTCGGAATTACAAGGAAAAAAGTCAAAATTTTGAAATACAAACTCAAAATTACCTTTTTTATTCCTTTATTCCATGGCTTCCATAGACCGCTACTTTAAAACGGTCATTTTCTGCCACTAGATAGGCTCCGCCCACAAAAAAACATCACCACTGTTTGCAAACACCAAATTGGTCTATAGGCATCTAAAGATTTACATGCCCTCAGTTTCTATTTACTAACAGGTTTTTACTGTAGCATTTTTACAGTCTTTTACCGTTAAATTCACGGTCATTTTTTACAGTGCTCGGTTTCTCTACCTGTAAGTGTGTCAGGCCACTCCTCTCAGATCGTCCATCCATTGAGTGAGTGTGTACGCGTCGGCCAATCTGGTGCCTTCCATTAAAGTTAACATTTTCAAATAACAATCATGATCCCAGACAGTGAGTGACATTACATAATCAGATAAAATCACATTTTCTCCAGTCATTGTTAAAAAACAAGCAAACAAAACTTGCAAGCTAGCATTAGTGAAGCAGTCAGAGGAATCTTTCTGCCTCCACCTAAGCTCCGCCCATAAAAACTGTTAACTGACCATAAAAAAAAAAATTTAACTAGTAAGAAAGTATTTTGAATTTATTCAAGTTATTTCTGCTTTAAAATGTGTCCTAGACATCAGACAAACAGATAAAGAAGATCTAATGAAATAACACTTAAACTGTCATGTGATATTGAGCACTTCGATCCTGCAATCACCAGTTTTTTTGAATTTCGGCTTCTCTTTTGGCAGCAATTGACTTGAAGGTATTTTGGTCTATTTTCCCTTATAGAACAGCTTCATTTCATTGATCTTTTAAAATTTATTTTTAACAGTCTTGAATAAACTCCTTGCTTCAGGTCAGATAATAATATCCAGATTATTCTAAAACACATTTTACTGAGAGTCATTGTGTTCACAGCCTGAACATTGATTTATGCATGCTGAAGACTTTATCAAAGGTTTTGTAACCCTTTCTGGGCCTGTGGGCATCCACATTTCTTTGTTCAGACACTTGTGCTGGGAAAAACAAAATGTGAGATTAAATTGCTTTTGTTTTATATTTTATAAATGAGTTCATCTTCTGAATTAAAATATCTTTTGATGATTAGTCCTCTATGTAAAGCGCCCTCTGCAGCTATTCATAACAAAATTCAATTCAGTAATCGTTTACCATATGTCTTCTGGTAAAGGTTAACAGCCAACTGTCAAAATAGATTTTTTGCAGCAACTTTGCTGTGGTTAATTTTCTGTCTAATACAGTGAAGAACTAATCGAATCCAGCACTGGTAGTAGGGTTGCTGAACCACCTTAAGGTCAGGATAATTTTCCACATGTCATCAGCTCACTTAGCATCTGATGATTCATGATTATATAGCCACCCCTCACCTGAGTGGCATTCAGTTGTCCTGATTAATCTAATTCAATTGAATCAAGTCCCTCATAGCTCTGCTGTGGTTAAATAACCATGAATGAATCTTGAATCTTTCTCTGTCACTCCGTTTAATCTTGCTGTTCTGCTCCTGTCGTGAATATCTGGGATGGGGTAGGAACTCTGGGCTGGAACTGGAGACTTAGCCTTTCCTGAACAACGCCGATGAGTTGTATGTCTTGTTTACTCTTGAGTGATGGTGAACTCCTAGGGACTTGTAGGACCATTCCACATTCATGTTCTTTGTTTTTGATCTCTCTGCTTTGTGAAGTGGAGAGAAGACAGAATGGCATTCTAAATCCCCTTTCCACGTCACTGTGGAAAAGGTTCACTTCAGTGTGATTGGATTTCTGTAGGAACAAATGTCTTTTGCCATCTGATAAGACAACAACAGGCCCTGTGGAGAGGAGGGCTTCTTATTGGCCACATGTTCCCTCTAATCAATGGAAATTTTCTTCTGGAATCTCACTCCTAAGATTCAGGTGTGACTTGCCGTAGAAATTCTTGAAAAACTCCAGAACTTTGGCCTCTCTATTACATTCTGTGTTTGAAATTGAAATTGCATGTTGCTTGCGGAGTAGTTTTGCTTCACCACTTCTCTTCTGTTCAGATGACTCTGATGGTTTGAGAAATCCTCTTGGTTACTGGTGATCACCTCGTAAGTGGGGATCTGTCATGCTTCACTAAGACCTACTGACAATAAGAAGAATTTCCAACAAAGCGTATATAAGGAAAAAAATTTATATGTTCCATATCTACCGATGTGGTTCAGATTTGATGTTGATGCAGGTTCTGTCGTTTCCCCTTTCTGATTTGCAAACTCTATGCAGTTCAAGGTTTCTTTGTTTTGTCTAATGGTGATTTAAATGGGATCAATGATGGTTGCTTTTAAATACTAGCTGACTAGATCATATTCTACGCAACAGGACTATTTATTATATCAATAACTACAACAAAATCTAGCCAGATCTTTAAAAAAACATTTTTTTTTTTTTACAGTATTTATGGACACCACATCTTTGACAAATCTTTACACACTTGTTTGTTTTTTGCTATTTTGGAGCTTGCAAGCTTTTTTCTCTCATCAGGAGAAATCTTGTGTCCATTGTTGAAGCTCGTATGGTTACGACCTGCATTACATTGAGAGAATTTGGAAGCCTAGCCGAGTACCTTACGGCTACCCCCGAACTCCAGTTTTTAAACATGTTGGAAAAAATTGGGTGAGTCAGCTCGGACCTCATCACACTGACTATGAACAGAATGTTCATGCTGTTCTCTGGGTGATTCTACAATTGGAGATGCATTTCACATTTCAAAAAGTTAATGAAAAAACTGTTCACTAACAGAAATTCTTTCCAGTATTTTATTGAAAACATATTCAAATAATTCAGTGCTTCCCAAACACAAGTTACTTCCTTTGTTTACTTTTAACAAAAAAAAGCAAAAACAAAACTGATTTCTATAGTATTTTTGTCAACTCCGTTACAGACAAATTAGGCAAAGTGTAGAAATAACAATAAATCATAAAAGAAAAATCCTTCTTGTTCCATTAGACAAACTGTCCTTACATCCCAACACTTGAAACTGAGATAATATTTTACTTATGCATACCTTAAAAATGAAAAAAAAAAGTGTCCACTAGGAGCAATTATTTTTAATCTAAAAATGTATTATATACAATATCCATTGTTAAAATATGAAAAGGGTGCAAATATACATCAATAATGTTTTTGCGATTTTAAACAACAATTTCATTATTTTTGGTGTAAATAGTGCATAAACAGAGTTGATCCTTTACGTTACAGAATTGATTAAAGTAACAGAATTGATTGGCTAACTTGGGACTATTGAACTGCGTTCAAAATCGCAGGCGATTCATTGCCGATTATGAACGCGATTTTGCTTAGGTTGTCAGTGATCTGGCTCTGTGTAGTAAATGCCGCTCCATCTGAAAGCACGTGCTGGAGATTTACTGCTAATCACAGAAGCGACTGTACCGATGAGATGCGCATGAAAATTGCATTCGATTTTTTTGCACAGCCCTACATGCATTAAAGGAGTAGTTCACCAACAATGAAAATTCCCACCCTCATGTCATTGCAAAACAACGTGACTTACTTTCTTTTGTTGAACTCGAATGGTGATTTTAAATATATAAATGATTTTAGCAAATGGCTGCAATATAACAAAGAGTGAAAAATTGAAGGGGGTCTGAATACTTTCCGTACCCACTGTATATATATTCTTACATTTTGGCTTAAATATAGTAAATTACTGTCTGTTCCACACAAAGCTACAATATGGTTTCAGAAGGCTTGTAATGTATTAGCGGTGCTTGTTAAAGCAAGCATAATAATCCATATCATGGGAGCAGGTGCCATTTTACAGATACTTGCTATCTTTGCTCCTAAATGAGATTCTAGCAGAAATGGTTATTATGAAGATAGGAGTTTAGCATTAAGACGTGTCTGTAATATGGCTGCAATGACCAATAAAGAGCCACCTAGCAGTTCCCTAGGAACCACCCAAAAGACCCTAGCAACTTTGTAGCAACATGCTAAAAATGAGGAATTTTCTCTCTCTTAATAAACTGCATTTTATATAGTAGTATAGTCTGTATTTAGTTCAGGTTAAATCTGAACACCTACATATGTGTTTTTGTGCGTGTAAACAAATATTGTATGTGTTTCTTTTACATGTTTGCAGTTGGTACAGATTATGGGCAGGACACCATTGAAAGTGCGGGAGGCTTCTTGTTTAAAATATTCCACAACAAAGACCAGATTGGTCACGAGGAAACCAGGGCCATAAAACAGATGTTTGGACCTTTTCCGGCCTCTGCCGCCGAGTTGTCTTGTGCAGCTGTGGGTCGTTTAGTGGCCCAGATCGGAGAATCTCAGGTGGATGCTTTCATCCAAACACAGAGTTCTCTCAAGACAGTGAACCGTAGTTCTATCTTTGGACGGAACATTGCTTTCTCATTTGACACATATGTGCTGGATGCTCAGGATCCTCTGCCCCGGTCAGAGGGGACTGATACGGAGCAGGACATGGACTTTCACAGCTTCCTCAATAATCACGTTGGTGAGCGGAAGGCTTGGGGTGACAGAGATGATGCTTACTCAGCAGAAGAACTGGAGCGGAGAAACGCAGACAGCTCCATCCTGAGACAAGAGGTGGAGAAATACCTGAACGAGGGAAATATGCTATCGTCCAGTGCCGAAGAGCTCTCCACCTCTCTTTTTGAGATGCTTGCCTCCACAAAGAGTGATGACGAACTACAAAATGAGGTGAGACAAGTTTGTATATAAATCTATACATTTATTTATATAAATTTATATCTGTATCTTTCAAGAGAACTACTGTCATGGTGAAAAAAACAGTTTGAAATCTTGCTGAGCAAATTGTTTAGAGTTAGTTACTGTCGATATGTTGTCACTCACATAGTACATAAGGTTTTAAGCAGGCTACAAATGCACACTTCTGGAATTAATAATTTATTAGACAGAATTGTTCAACAATAACAGTAAAGTAATGAAGACTGAGACTGGGAGCTCCTGCATGTCTGCACTGTTGCTGGGTTCTTGGTGCTTTTAAAATAAAACACTTTTTGGCCAAACAAGAAAACATTATTGGACGATGCAGATAACAAAAAAAAAAATATATATATTATGTATATATATATATATATATATATATACATACATACATACATGTATATAGTTAAATAATGTTCATCCTAGGGCTGGGCAGTATATCGAGTTTGTATGATATATTGATATATTTTTTGTAAACGAAATGGAATGAGGCAATACCATTTATATGGATATACAGTGATTTGATACAAGCACATCTGAAAAATAGCACCAGACACATAGTTATTTGTAGTTGATTTTTCTGCATTATCTGTAAACCGAGTACCGGATCATGAGTAAGTACCTGAAATACTTTGAAACACACACACACAAACAAATAAATTATAAATTCTGTCAAAGATCAGAGAACTGATAAAAAACTGTTCATGAAGGAAAATGTATCATGTTACGTTGTAACCTCGTGCCTCAGCATTAAACGTTCATATTTGCAAGACTGCCGATACAATAATTAATTAACTATAACTTGCACAACTGCTTATTTGTGACCCTAGAGTCTCTGTGGAATACTTGATTCTGATTGGTCAGTCGCGACATTCCAAGGTCTGTTATCCCTCGATGATGTTCATGAAGGAAAATGTATCATGTTACGTTGTAACCTCGTGCCTCAGCATTAAACGTTCATATTTGCAAGACTGCCGATACAATAATTAATTAACTATAACTTGCACAACTGCTTATTTGTGACCCTAGAGTCTCTGTGGAATACTTGATTCTGATTGGTCAGTCGCGACATTCCAAAGTATGTTATTCCTCGATAACAACAGGTAAAAGCTGATAACACAGGCTCATCCGGGTAACTGAAGTTGGCGCTATACGCTCGCTAGGAACTGTTTTTCTCGGTGGAAGCTTTGTGTTTGGTTAGCTAATAAAATATTAAACTTCAGTTCAATATTATGTGTTTAATTATTCAATTATGTCATCCTTGTATCACGGACTCGCTCTCTCGTTTCATACAAACGCAGCTGCTGCCGTTTTGCGACAGTTGTTTTTTTTACATTGTAATGGATTATAAGATATAACTAACAAACTGGTAAGATTGTAAAACATTTTCGTCTTAAATCAATATATTTTATCGCCTTAAAGGGTTAGTTCACCCAAAAATGAAAATTCTGTCATGAATTACTCACCCTCATGTCGTTCTAAACACCTAAGACCTCCGTTCATCTTCGGAACACAAATTAAGATATTTTTGATGAATTCTGAGAGCTCTCTGACCCTCCCATAGACAGCAATGTAATTACCACGATCAAGGTCCAGAAACATAGCAAGGAGATCGGTAAAATAATCCATGTGACATCAGGGGTTCAACCGTAACAATCACGAAGCTACGAGAATACGTTTTGTGCGCAAAGAAAACAAAAATAACGACTTTATTCAACAATTCGTCTCCTCCGCGTCACCCTGGTGCCATTTTGGAGAATATCCACTGAACGTAAACTGTGTATGCTATTCTGTGTCAGCTGCGTGACGCAGTATTCCACCATAAAAAATTACGGTGTGTTAAACTTTGACAGCTCTAGAAGTTATAGAAAAAGATTGTGAAATTGTATTTGTTAGATGATAACTGACCAAACTAAGCAGGTGCCAACATGGACAGGTTGCGTGGAAAAGTCCTTATACCACCCCCCCCCCCCCCCCAAAAAAAAAAAAAAAAAAAAAAAAAGGATA